CCAGTTCTGTAATGGCAGGACAGACTTCCAGTGTTTCACTGGGCACTCATCTAAATTCCTGGATATTTAGATTCTAAAAGGAAAAAAATCATAACTGAGAACATGGTGACTTTGTTAGATTGAAGTATTTATCCATATATGGATATATCCATATATACTTTTTGCATAGCAAAAGCAAACAAGGACTTTCTGGCACAGAGTAAGGTCCATCATTACCTTATGGATGTTGTGATGTTTAGACATCTGATACATGCTTAAAATCTGGTCATGTGCAATAGTTGGTATGGATTACTTTTGTAGTCAGCATGGAGAAACAGAAATTTTCAGAAGTCAGGTCATCTTTGTTATTGTAAGCACCTTTCAGAATCAGGAAATTCAGTATCTGCAAGATTATGGTTATCACTAGGGCAAGCCAGGAGTTAGATGAAGAAGTGTTAGGATTTAAGAGACAATACAAGCTCAAGCAACAGAATCTTGGGGTTTTTTGCATTGTGGCTGGTCTTCCACAGGGACTCTTATTTATTAAATTATTTTGAATCCAAACCTGTTTGTTATCCTTGGTAGATGTCCTTGTGTTATTTCATATATAGGGGCTTTTTTAGGATTACTTCTTAGTGTATGATAGTCATATGAACCAGATAGTTCCTTGGATACCTTGACTGTATCTTGTAGGGAAGTTGTGCTGGGTGTTTGAAGGGAGATTTCATAAGTCAGCAGAAATTAAAAAACAAAAACAAAAACAAAAAAAAAACCCCAACACAGCACCCCACAATTAAATGATGGCACAAGTATTGAAATTTCTGATATAATTTCTGATACAGTAGTTCCATTCACAAAAGACTGCCCTCTTGGAAAGCCAAACAAGAGTAAAAGGGCACAGTTAAAATATTTTGTCACTCTACAAACTGGAAATGCTTTAGGTTATCATGTAGTGTGCAGTTATGGAACTAGTAATAATTATGTTCTATTATACTAACATGATCAATCATTTTACTGCATAATATGTTATACTTTCATTAGAGTTCCTTTAGAACTATGTTTCTATTTTGGTACAGGTACTTAAATAGATTTTCTATTTCAAAATATAAAGGGAAATAAGGGAATCACAGGTGTGCTTCCATATTGTCCCTTTTTAGGTTACTAACTGAAATGCGGTTAATATTTTTAATAAAAAGAAAAGGTAGGTTTTAGAAACAGAAATGCTTTAGTGGTAATCCCAGGTATTCATAGCCTACTCTGTGCTAGTCCTTTTGTTGAATGTGCTGTTACCTTGTGTTTGCTGTGTTCACACAGCAAACTGATCTTACAGGCTGAGAGGATGTCAGTTGATCCACCTAGTGAAAGCCAACAGTGTTTTGAACTTGCACAAATGTGCTACTTTAAATTACAAATGATCTATTTGCAACTGGATAAACGGTGCTTATGCGCTATAGTGAGTGTGACTTTATTGTAACTGGCAAGGGCATTTCACAGTAGGCTCTCCTCAGCCATCTGCTGCTTCTCATCTTTGTTTTACTTTCTTAAACCTTTTCCCTATAGTTACTATAGGTGCCCATACTTATTTTAAATGATAGGGTTCCAAAGGTATGTGATGTGTTACACTCGTATGTGTGAATAACACATCAAGTAGCCAGAATGTTCTGAAACAGTGCTAGCTAGAATTCAGCCAAAGTGATTTAGAATATTTACTTAGATATTAATATTAAAAGTCTTGTCCAGATTTTGCATGCACACACACACCTCCCTTCCCCAATCCCAATACAAATCTTAAAGGTCTTTTTCCTTCTTTGTGTTCTGAAATAGAAACGCATGCTGTCCTTTGGAAATAGATACTTGCTGTCCTGTGGTCTTGTGCAATTATTGCATCAGCATAAAGGGAATACAAAATTTAATAAAACAGAAAAGTGGCATTTTATATTGCTCTTTTACCAATGCAGGAGAATGTATATAAATTCTGAGTAATAATCATAAGTGGTTCTTAGAAAACTGCTTTTCATTCACTGGATTTTCAAGATAACTTATTGAATTACTTATTAAAAAAAAAAAAAAAAAAAAAAAAAAAAACCCCAAAATGTCAAAAAGCCCAAACCAGAACAAACTCACAAATAAATAAATAAAATAAACAAAAAACCAAAAGGAAATAATTTTTCTATAGCTGAAGGTAGTTGGAGAAATTAAATGTAAGACCTTATAAGTTGACTACGTATCTAGACCTGAGTATGTGCATATGGTGTAGACAAAATGCAAACATTTTCAAACCCATCTGCAGTACCTGCAACTTGATTGGTGTTAAAAAATCAGAATATAAAATGTTGTTTTATTTGCCTTATTTTGCTTTTATCTCAATTTCATTTGCAGAACACATCAGCAAGGAAGTCCCACACAGTCTCCTCCTGCAGACACCTCCTTCAGCAGTCGTAGGGGAAGACAGCTACCACAAGTTCCAGTAAGAAGTGGCAGTATAGAGCAAGGTATCAAATAATGAGCCTGTGATAGCTCAAACTCTTTGATTTCTCACCTTTCTTTACTTTAAGTCTTCTTGCATAACTACATGTCCAATGCTATAATTCTACCAGTAAAGCAATAGAAGAGAATGAAAGCATCTTTGTAGTTTGGGAAATCCAGTGAAGTTTGACTGGTGGGTTATTACATGTGGTTTAGTTGTCTTATTTTCTAGTACCCTTTCATGTTTAAATTTTCTCTCAGAGTCATGGTGGTTTCCAGCATGTCTAGTATGTTATCAGCAAAAAAAAAAAAAGCAAAAACCAGGGGCAAGGATTTTGACAGAATTACTCATTTCGTATATTGTGGTTTATATTTATTGTTGTGCATTACTAACATAGATTAATAATAAATGTCACAGATCTGTTTTTCTTCTGGAGTTCATAGTTCAGTGAACAAAGAATGAAAACAATTACCGTGGGAAATGTGAGAGCACAGGTCACTTTCTTGCTTAAGAATAAACTGATCAGCCAAAGAGTTCTGCTTTTTTCTGAGAAAGGCGATATAAACCTGATTATTATGGAGGATGTTTCTTACATACTAAGATCAAATAAGGATGTACATTGCTGTTTCATTTTCTTGGAACATACTACACACAGAGAATGAGCTGTTATGGTAAAATGAAGTGACACAATGGATAATACTTGTGCATTCATGTTTTATTCTGTGTTTAAAAAAATCCTGTTTTCTCACTAACTACAAGCAATAACTGAGATTGCCACATACTAAAAGGTTTTATTTGTGGAAATTAAAGAAATGCTTATAATGATGAAATATTGTAGCATTGCAGAACTTAGCAGGTCACATTCTTGAACAGATAAAGTTGCTGACCATGACCACCTTATCATGATAGATTACCAGTGAGATTTTCTTGTATGATGGCTTGCATTAATCTGCAATCAGTTTACATTATTGTTAAGGCTTTGAGCTGTAATGGTGTACAAACCCCTCAATTAGCACATATAAAATGTACTCTTGTTTTATAAATGTGCTTATTTTGATGACAAATATAATTATATAAGTGGCTTTTATTAACTTTGAGCTTTCTACTCAGATCTTCTTGTTTTGTAGTGACGCTAGTACTGTCTGAATTATAAACTAGTTGCAAACTACATTCAGAGTTTCTATTTCTGCATATTAGCAAGTTGGGAGCTTTATAGGGAAATGTAATAAGTAATGAATTTCAACTTTCTTCCATATTTCTACTTCAATTTCAGAACTTGGTACAATATATAATGATGAATTAGCTTTTAATTTAGGTTTAATTTGCCTTTCCTTTACATATTCATATATCATCTTTCTGCTGGTCTTGGTAACTGGTGTGTGAGAATAAAATACCAGTTTATGTTTTGGTGAAAGTGTTGGAAATGAATGTAGAACTTACCATGGAAATGAGTAGAAATGCGATGTGTATAGAAGAGGAAAGAATAAACAAAAGTTGAGCAGAAGGCCAAAGCTACACTAGTTTATAAAGTTGTTGATACCGCGAACACTTGTAGAGTAATGGTGTTTCAGTGAGCTCCTGTTTACACTTGTGCCTAATGTGCTTGCGCCTTACACATGAAACGTGCAGGTGAGATGCGCCGTGCTTAGTTTGTTGTTCACATTGTGCCGCCTGTCGCTGGGGCTGTTTTACACGGAACCAGTCGTTAAAGAGATTTCCTTCTCTACGCAGTACTTTGGTTTTGTCTGCATGACTGACTTTACTTCTGAAAGGGAACTTTTCTTGCTTTACCCGTGTTTAATGTTCTGAGCTCTGCTCAAGCTCAGAACAAATCTGCAGAGGAGTACGAAATTGAATAGATTTTATTGTATGTGTTTAAAAAATTGTGTCAGTATCTGTTGAAGTACATATGCTGGTATGTGTAACTTAATACTACTGTTAGAAATTAAATTCACTAAGGCCTTAAGATCACAGTACTTGCTCTGATTTACAGCACCAGATTTTAATATTAGTTTCACCTCTATAATCCCTGTCAAATGAGTACCAGGGTCAAATGTAGTGACCTGAAGTGATCTGACCTTAATGTAGTATGAACCCAAAACATATTGAGTTCTGTAAAAGATTTACATTAACTGTGTTTGGAACTGGAGCGTGTCCTTAATGGTATAAATTCACAGTCACCGTAGATACAGGTGATGTAAAAATCTAGTGCGATATACAAATGTATTGGAAATGTTTGAAAATGCATTTTCTTCCTATATTTTGATGGTCATCTTGAATTCACGCGTTTCAAGGAAAACCTGTATGACGTGCCATAAAGTATCATTTTTATAGTAAAGTACTTCTTTACGTTCCATAAGAATCCTGTTGTTTTATGAAGGTCAAATATTCATCTAAATATATACATCTATAAATCTAAATATATACATATATGCACGTAAGTCTGTTATGCAAGTCATAGTGATTGCTGCAAAAAAATTGCATATTTGTATATCAAGAATAGGCTTCTTGTTTTCTCTCTTACACATTCAGGAGACAAAGAATCCAGTGAAGTAATTTTATTACTCTTTAAAGTCCTCATTAAGGAACAAATGAGATTTAATGAAGGAGTAAGAGACTGGTAGTAGTTTTCATGTGGAGAAACAGAGTGATATTTTAAGTACTGACCTCTAATCTTTAGCTATCAATTGTAAGTGATCATATTCATGCTAATAATGCTTGGTTGACATTGTATTTCAGGCATTCCATTTTGTTGTCAAGTTTAGAACTAAGCAAAAGCTTGTTTCCTTGTGTCTACCAAATGATGTCTTAGTTACTACTCTGGTTGTCAGTCTGAGGATCATAAAAATTCAACTTACAAGAAAACAAGGTAGTTTTACAAGGTCCTGAATAATACACATAGTTTCTGTAAAAAAACTCACAGAAGTAATTGTTACAGAGAAGACCAAAGTAGTGATCCATATTCCATTACAGAAACAGAGCTGATCAGGACACTATTGATCAGGAATGGATAAACAACCTTAAGTGTAGAGGAAAAGGTAAAGTTTATTTTAAACAGTGTTATAATTCACACTGGCACGAAAAAATGTGAAAAAATAACAGGCTTCTTGGTGGGTATGTTCTGAAGGGGAGAGCAACTTTGTGTAGCTTTAGAGTGGAGAAGAGGCATAGTTATTTTCACTTGAGACAATACTAACTAAATAATAGCAACTTGAGGGCATGCAGACTTTAGAAAGTGATTACAGTTAAGACTGTAGGCTTCTGTAATTTTTGGGCAAGGGATTTTTTTTTTATTACAGTCGTATTCAAGGAAGACATAGTTGCATTTATTTCCTTTGCAACCCTGTCAGCAATATTTCTTAGAACGCAAGATTGGAATACTGCTGTATTGAAAGGTCTTGAGATGTTTCAATATTGAAAATTAGTCCTGTACAGGTGTGCCTGTGTGTGTTTTCAAGACATTACAATTTAATAGTAATTTCTCTAACTTATGCTACTAAAGAAGTGGTTTTGATTTTTCTTGTATTAACGAATGATTTTATAAAAGGACCTAACCCTGTGAAGATGTTTTGGCTCAGTGACTAAAGCAGTGAAATTCTAAGCCATGGTAAGGACAATTGTGTATTCTCAATATGTCATTCTGTGCTGGGCTGTAAGAGATTTGCATCACTGTTTTTTTATTTGCATCGTGTTTGGAACTGTGCAATCATTAAGAGGGATGGGGATTCTTCATTGACTTTGCTTTTTAGCTGTTTCTATAAGAACTTTGTGATGTAGTTTCATGGTTTTAAAATTATATTTCTGTATAAAGGATACATCTCTGATATTTACTCAGTCCGTCCTCTGTCACTGCAGCTACTGAACGTCATGGGAATTCTTGCTTGAATAAAATTTGAGGGTGGGTTTCTACACTTTTGCATAATGGTTGATCTTGTATTGACCAAGGAAGTGGGTCCAGCAGACAGTAGGGATTCTATTATTACTCTAGCAAGTAAATAACAAAAGAAAATACAACTGTTGAAATTTATGAACCAGCAATATAAATCTGCAATGGTTGTAGTGTAGCAACAATCTTTCGGGGCTAATTCAAGCAAAACAGGTCTTACTCCCTCTATCTACCTCTGAGTCTTCACAGCATTGCTTCTTTTTCATAGCTTTGACAATGTAGTTTCCTATTTCAAAGTCACATAATGAGAGTAAGGTTTGTGATGATAGCAGTCTGCTTCCATGTAAAGAGCATCTGCAATCCTGACTGCAGCAGTGTGGTTGTGTGTGTTTCCAGTGGCATCTGGTTGCAGCAGTAGGGCTCACGTGGTGACACCGAGCAAAGCAAACGTGCATCCAGCATTAGGTGTTGCTGTACCTTAGCTCATCATGGGAAAAGCTTTCTACAGCACTTGTATGGAAGGGGAAGTGCACATGTGTGTGTGTGCTGCTGCTGTCACATGAGGGAAAACTACATGAAGACTCTGCTGGGACTGAATGGAGATTACATGTATAAAGTTCATGTGATATTTGTACAATGGTGACGTTGCAGAGGAACAAAGTATTTTGATGTCCAGTATTTTTTTAAAAAATAAGAATCAGAATTTCATACAGAAAATCAGTATGTTGTCAAATAATACACTGAGTTGCAAGTATCTTTTTATATTTAACCCATTTAAAATAGAAATAGAAAAATAGAAATGCTAGTGAAAACAGTTCTGTATTTGTATAGTTGATCATTGAAATGTCATTACAGTGAGAGTATGGTTGTGGTAATGGTAAAAGATCAAGCCTTTTCAGTCAAAATTTTTTTCAAATCTATCAGTATAAAAATTGAGTGCCAGAAGAAAAAGAATAAGTCCTTTCAGTTTTAGATTTCAACCTATCAGTGTTGTTTTGTCTCCATATTTCTGGTTTTATTTTTAAATTATTAGGTGTCACAGCATATTTTGAGGCAGCTTGTGGAATCTTTACTCATGCTGGAGACTATTTTTCTTAACACTGCTAACTTTCACAAATGAGTTCAAGCCTCATAAGCTTTTATGTTTTCCTTAAAAATTGATTTTTAATAGTCCAATGGTTATTGACTATTATCGATTTCAGTTAATAGAAAATAAATTTGTAACACTCATTATTGCAGAAGAGGCTTCAAATAGTGCTGTGTAGTTTAGAAGGAAGTAAGAGTGATATTTAAAACAAGATTTTTATGTAATTCATAAATTTGGGTGTGATGATGTTTCTCTAGCAGAATACTTAAAGACTCCACAATCTGGTTCTCTGTAACATCATTGTTCCTGTTAATTTTAAAGAAAAGGTCATAGGCTTTATTATTTGTCATTGTTTATCATTTTAATTTTCTACATTACTTTTACATATGCTGGAGTACTGCCTACTGTACCTGCCATTGTCACATGTAACACATTTCTTTATCTAACTTTAAATTTGCTGATTTCTTTTTCTGTTTCCATCATTCCACGCATTTAATTCATTGAAGAGCAAGAGAATTTTAACTCTCCCACAAAAGGTAAATATTTTTGTAATTTTTTACAAATGTTTGGCAACTGTTGATACTGGGTTTTCCTTCATTATACTCCATGTCAGTGTATAGGTTTTAGTTAACAGTGTTAACATATAAAAAGGTTGTTTCTCAAATATCCCTATGCTATCTGATGCCCCTCTTTAGAATCGGACAATGGTTTCTCTAATGATTTCTCATGCTCATATTGAAATGCAATATACTGGATTTAACAGAGGTAATAATGATATTTTACTTGGGTCAGAAGGTGCTTGATTGAGTTAATGTTCACACAAAGACTTAATATTTTTCCTAAAGTGTTCTTGAATTCTGCACAGCACATGCTTTTGGTGATGCAGCCATGGTCCATGGCAGCTGTGAAGGATGTTCCTAGATGTGGACTTAGGAATAGTTTAAAGGTGATGGTCAGAAACTAGTTTTTGTATGCTGAGACAGTCTGAAGAATAAGCTGTTTTCTATTTGCATGTCAGTCCCATGTCAGAAAGTTACTCCTGTTGTAGGGGAGCTTTTAGGGGCAGATATACAGTGCTCACCTCCTATGAATTTGTGCCTGTGACACCAGAGAATCAGTGAGTTTCAAACAACAGGTATCTAAAGCTGTCCCACAAAATGAAAACTGTAGTCTGTTATGTTTCTATCCAAGCCATATTGCAGAAAAGTCCTATTTTTTTTAACCTTTTATCTGAAAGTAGGAATTACCTCAAAATCCAAATGAAGCTTGTAGAGCAAAAAAATTTAACAACTCACTCCACCTTTTATGTTGAAATCAAGGTATTATCCTACATAAATATTACTAGCACTGATTAACCTTTTCTAACCTTTATTCCTGAGTCCTGCTCATCTTGGGAAATTCTGGTCTGAATACAGGCTTGGGTGGGTCACAGCCAACTGTGAGTTGAACTTGAATCAAAGTATTTCCTGCAACTACTTTACTTTTTGAAGGGATGAAAGCTTAGGTAAAAATAAAGCAACTTTTCCACTAGGTCTGAACTCCAACACCCATGTCAAACATGTTTCCATGATAATGTTAAAAAGAGATTAAAAAGAAATATGTAACTTAGGTGTTAGCAATTATATGTTATTTTTGCAGTGTTTAGAATATTCTATGAAATGTCTTAAGAAAGTGCTAAGAGTGGTTAACTTTACAAATTATTTCTGTCTCAGTATTTATATTTCTCTCAAACAGGACAGTACAAATCAATCTTACCTGTTTGTTGATTATGCCTCTGTCAAGATTTGGGCTGCAGTGGATATTTTTTTGTTTAAAACAATGGACTTTATGCAGACAAACTAGACTGTCTCTAACAGGTTTGTAAAAGAGCTTGTTTCCATAAGATTTGGATGGATCTGGCTCAATATCTGGGCATGTGTAGAAGGTGGTGGGATATTTACATGCACAGATTCCTCTGGCTCAAGGGACCTGATGGCAGATAAAACCCAGGGGCTCAAATGAACTGGGCAAAAGAAGAGCAGCCAGACGAGTGAAGTGCCAGCAGATCTGGGGGACCATGATTCTTAATTTGAACTGATTTACACTAGTAGCCCACTGTAACTTCTTAGAAGAAGTAAAAAGAATACATAGTAGGTGAATTAGAGATGAGGATGGGGCAGTTACAGGATGTTTTGTAAAAGAAGAGATAAGTGTGAGGGAGAGCATATACTACAGAAGTGAACAACACTGATCATACGAGTCTGCAACAAAGCAAACATTTGTTCCATATAATCAATGGAAAAGGTTGCAATAAAGTCTTCAGCAAATTATGAAAATTATGACTTTTTTGCTGCCAAAATCAGTGGTTTGTTATTTTGTTGGGTTTTTTTTTTCTTCCAAATTATATGAGGTCTGTGTTTGTTTTCTTGTTGTTTCCTTTTACATAGAAGCTTCTCTGTGGATCACCCCTGAAGCTCTTTGAGAAAGAACTGAATGTTGCATCATCCAGTTCAGGTTTCTATATCTTCCTTCTGGAGTGAGTTGTGAATCTCAAGATGGCCACCATGCCTCTGTGTGTACTGAGAGATCCAAACTCATCTCCCAGTTTGGAAATCTGACCATGTGCCTTGGCCATGCCTGAGTTATAACTGGGAGGAGGTCCAGAGATCTATCATCTCCCATGGAAAGGAAATCCATGCACACAAGCTTGAAGTATGTACAGCAGGTTCTGGTCAGGCAGAGCAGGGTTCAGAGCCATCCCCCTTACAATTGGCATGTTCCCATTATTTTTTGAAGTTGTTTATTCAAAGAAGGCATAGCAAGTTCTTCATCTTGGCAACAAATTAATTTTTTGGTGTTACTTACCATATATTTCAGAACATTTATCTGCTCATGATTTTGTATGCTTTTTAAATTTCATGGTAGAGTTTGCTGTGAATTTTTAAGGCCATGAAACTTTTTGAAAGGATAATTTGTGTGTACATACTGCAAAACTCATCTTGAAGGATCAACAGAAATAAACTAGAGACTCTCAGTATTATTTCTGAAATGGATCATCCCGGTCCAACACCACTGTGACTTTTCTGTGCCACATAGCCATCTCTGCACTAGAGGATTCTCCTATCCAAATCTTGTTGCTGCTTTATTTCCTTGCCTTTGTTATGGACATAAGTTCTGTCTAGTTTCTTCCTCAGCTGCCACTTCTCAAACCAGACTTTTTAATTATTATTTCATATATAATTCCTCAAACCAGATAGTTTTTATTCCCCTGATTCCCATTCACAGAGGATCTAAGTTGCTCAGACAGATTATTTTCCTAGATTTTGCTGTGTAGAAAGTCTGTGCATATGCTTCTTGATGGCAGTACAGCTGTAGCTGTTTGTCACTGTTCAACCTTTCTTCTTAATATGAAGACTAAAACTGAAGAATAGATCATACCTCTCTTGTCTTGTGGAGTAAGTGCAGTGCTCTGTTCCCTTGCCTGAACTTGAACTGGTTTGCCCCAAAAACATTGTTTTTATGAGATAAATTTTAACTTCAGCTTACTTTTCAGTAAGTTTTTACTTTCTTATGTAAGAAATCTTTGTGTCATTTTAGACTTCTAGACCTTTTCTCTTAAAGTTTGCATCATAAAGGATGGATGTGTGATATATTCTGGAGTTACAACTATCTGAAATCTTGATGCCAGTTTCTTCCTGTTATGTAACTTACTCTGGCATTAATAGTGCAGGTAAGACTTGGAGACTTTCCAAGTCATACTGTTTGCCTGCACCTCCTCTTTCTGTCTTGACCATCTTGAACAGAAATATGAAGTGCCTCAAGAGAAGAGCCTGCATTTGTTGCAGACTTCACCATTACTGAAAATGGTATGGCCAGAGCTAAGACATCCATAAGTTTTCTACCATCCGGTAGTTTCTACCATCACAGTTTGGTTATTAGTTTGAATCACAGACCATGTAATGTCACCAGTCATTCTGACATTGAACCTGTATGTGGCTTGGAGCAAGAATGTCCTTTTAGAAAGGTATTTTCACTAATGAATGCAAGGGATGGAAATTTATTCCTGGGCTTAGTCACCTGACTTTTTAAACCTCTATCTTATTACTTATCTGACTTGCCTACCCTTTTTTTGAAATGTATTAATGGATTCTTATTAGATGTTATTTATTGACAAAATACGCTGTTTTCCAAAATTTTCAGAATGTAGCAATATGAAAGAGGTGGATATATAAAGAGTTAGAGCTCAGGAATAAGAAAACTAGAACTAGAGAAGGCAGTTACAGCATTTTTGCCATTTCTTGCTAGTTCATCATTGTTGCCTGTGATACAATCCTTATTTAAATGATCTCACATAAGTTTTATACATTATGCTATTAGCCTAATAGATGGCATCATGGTTTGAGGCATCATGTCATTTGGGAAGTTTTGCATCTAGCATGGGGTTTAGACTCCCTTTTAAACCTTAAAGAGAGAACTTTATACCTTAAAATTACTTCTGTTTCTTTTGCACTGGCCACTACTATTGATGCTGCTTTTGTAGCTCTCAATGACTTTCACAGGTTTGGTCTGTTGTTGATACAAATGCAAGTTTAATTTCTTTTAAAGTCATACTTCTTGAATTGTTCGATTCATATTCTCTGGATAACAGAACTATGCCATATGACACATTCTGTCAAGAAAGATTTTATTAAAGAAAAAAAGGAAAAATTTATTTGCCCTACTACATCTGATATATTACTACAGTACATTGATTATTGTTGTGTTATTTTGTACATAATTGAAAAGGTAGTATATATTCTAAATATTTAGGATTCTAGCCAGTTCTAACTTCTCCCTCAGTTAAACATCATTTAGGGGTTGAAATACTATAAAAACATAGTAGTTTTCTGAAGATAATAATAAAGATGAGGGCTGTCAACTAGTTAGTGGGACCAGATGTAACTCTATATATCTTAACGTAATAGTCATATATTAAAAGGAATGCGACTAGCACATAAAATCTTAGTAAACAGGTAAAGTCTTAAAAAAATTAAGTCGCTATCTCCTTTAATAAAAAACAACTGTTAGTCTGTCATAATTTTTTTTGAGGGTAGGCAGTCTGAAAATATGATCTGTAGCTGTTTTAGTCAGTTTATTCCATGCTTCTTTCAAGTAACGTCTTACAGAATCGCATATTTTAGACTAACCCCAGTTTTATTGCTGAGTATGATGCTATACACTATGGAATGGTCCCTCTGATCAGTTGGGGTCACCTGTCCCACCTTTTTCTTCTCACAGCCCACTTGGGGACAGGGGGAAGCCAGGACAGGGCAGGGGACTGCAGCATGAGGAGCAGAGAAGGCCTTGGTGCTATACAAGCAATGCTCAGAATTGCTAAAACACTGGTGTGTTCTCAACACTTAGTCACAACTAGAAGAGCAGGCAGCTGTGAAGAAATCTACCTCCATCCCAGCCAGTCCCAGTACACCTGGGATTACAGGAGTCAGATGGGTTTATAAATAGATTAATGGAATTGAAATACAACATTTTGATTCCATTCATATGTCTGTCTTTTCTCTCCTGCATGGCTTGATTGTTTATGTACCTCATTGTTGTTAACCTTCACGTGGTATTTTAGTAGTAAGCTTTGGCTATAAAGTTGCACTCTATTTAAGCAGTCTGATCAATGAGTTCTCTCAATTACTTTTACACTGATTGATCTCACATCTGAATTATCAGCCCTTTAAGACATGAGAGTTACAGCTCTTTGAAGTGTGACTTCTGAGACCAGAGAAAAGCATGTTGACACAACTGATATTGATTGTAATTGTACCACTATTTTGAGGCACTTATGGTAAATCTTCATTTTTTAAATTCTAGAACCACTCTAGAGTTGAAAGGTCTTGGGATTACAGTGCTTTGATCTGTAAATTACTGTGTAGTTCTACCTCTCAAGACCTCCAGGAAAAGCACTCTGTAAATAGTGATGTCCTAAAAGAAAGTAGATACATATTTTTCTAAGGCTAAGTACTTTTTTGTCAAGTTTTTTTTTTACCTGTGGTAACCAGCCATGTTCCAAAAAAGCAATGTGATCATATGGTGTTGTTACCTATGGTTGTTGTAGTTTTGCTAATGTGCTTTTGCTCCTGTGTTAGACTATTTTGCTTCTCATGATTAACATGTAAAGGTTTTCCAAAGCCACTAGTCAGGCAGATAAAATTTTCCATCACACAACTGAGCTGCATTCAACATATGCTCAGATGTGCATGGTAAATAAAGCTGGAAACAACACAGTTGGATTTTCTAGAGTAGGTTCATGCAACTGAATGCGTAGAAATAAGTTCACAGCTAACTGGTGCTCAATTACATTTTACTTCACTCACAAAATAAAATTTCTCCATTAGAGAATTTAGATTTACTTCACAGTCCTAATTAATTGTTCTCACATTCTTTGATATAGTCATATATGTATAAAGGAAAACCAGTAAATAAATGTGTTAAGCTTAAGGATTTAATCATAACAAACATCAAGAATTACGGAATTAAGGTCGAGTCTTCACTGAAGTAACAACCTCTGAAATAGCATTAAATTACATAATAGAATATTCTTTCCTGGGTATCATAAGTAATACAGGGTAACATATCATATATATTATTTAGTATAACATACAGTTGACAGGTTAAAGGACCTAAAATTCACGCAGTGAAAGGGTTATGTTTAGAGTAACACTAATCTGTGCACCATCACACATAGGGCTAAATTTTTAAAGGGGTCTCATTTTTTCCCTTTGATTTCATATCCTCTATTTCATGCACGTATGATAGGATTAAGATACCCACTGTTTTTACTTCAGTCCCTAATTGATCTATCTTAATCCTTTCATATCTGTCCTTAAAATAAGAGGCCATCTTTAAAAATTTCACCTAAAGTGCTCAATTTTGCCTTCAGATACCTCCATGCAACTTCCATTGAAGTAATTGGAGCTGTGCCTGCATATCTGATGGTGGAACTGGACTCATTGCAATTAAGGTACACCTTTACTGGCATAATTAGTCATCTGGAATAATTGCTGGGCCCAGTGTGACATTCTGCTTGTGCAGCATTTGCTAGATTGGACTCTATGGGAGACTGAAGATAATGCTAACTTTATTCCATGCCTTAGATTTCTAATTGTAGCAGAAGTTTAATGTAGTTTCTTGTATCTAATTTTCTAATTTTTAAATTAGAAATGTGGAAGGAATTCACAAGGATGCCTTTATCTATATTTTCATACCCAACCAGCACACAAATATTCTGTCATTTCCATGAGTATGTTACAAATGGTATGTGCAGGCACAATTGTGATTTGTGCAGTAGCTTACAGATGAAAATATCCAATCCTGAGTGTAGTGCTCTTTTTTTTTTTTTTTTGGCCTTGTATCTTTGTGCTGGCAAAGCAAAGTGCAGACAAATAAATCTGTAAATAACTAACAGCATAAAAAGCACACATGAAAACTTTAATAGCTCTTAATTGAAAATACATAGAGTACTTATCTTCCAGTAATTTAAAATTATCTGTGTTTTGTGACTGCAAGTTGATTACAGGCAGCTTTAATATAGGTCTCTCTCTCCTGTCACTGGTCTGGGGAGGGGCTCTTTGACTTATAAGAGTAGTGGTTTTGTAGAGTAATAGAAATCCATGGTTGGCACAAAAGCAGAAGATTTTGTGGAGGTTGCCTAAAAATTAAATTTGTGACACATAAAAAATTTCAACTTAAAAAAAGTTTTTCTGAGATGCTATAACCTGTTAAACCACAATGAACATAGTGAATACTCCTGTGATTTAGAATAGTTGCTGATAAATATTTGGGTCTAGTTCTAGAACTGTTAAAAAGCGACAGTTTTCATGGTATTGATGTTACCTGCATTGCTTTGAATTTAAAATGCTACAAAGTTTAAGAATAACAGAATATCTAGATCCCTCTAAAATTATTTACTACCACAAAGGTTAAGTTACTTGGAGGAAGCTTTGGCCCAGGGTTGTTTACAGCACTCTCTCTGTTAGTGCATGATTGTCTGCCTGTGGCAGGCACAGCCAGTATGAATTGCCATAACTTGTTCAAATTGAAGATTATGCTCTTTATAACACCACAACTCCTTGAATGTCCAAGATATCTGTTTTTAAAGAAACACTGCTATATGGAAGTTGAAAACGAAAGAACAAATTATTATTTGAAGTAAAGGTGATCATTACAGAACAAAGTAGTGATTTTAAAGGAGGTCTTGTTAAAAAAACCCAAACTACTAGAAAAGGACTGTTGTTTCGACATGACTGATTGAATGGAGAAATTATTCTTCTCAAATAGTCTTAGCTATGTTTCAAAATAGTAGGAGTTATTAATTTAAAGCAAATTTTAATACCTGTTTCATGCATTAATTCTTAGAATGCTACTGTAATATTTTCTACATTTAAAAAACCACATGCTTAGATGATCATGGATTTACGTCCCCTGCATCCAGAATATTTAACAGGTCTAACATTCAGCCTGCCACCTAAATTTTTTCACTCTTTTCATATCTGTTGCACCAGCTTGATTATGTGTAGAAATTGGGATGTCTGCCCATTTTCAGGTAAAGACTCTTGCAATGAAAGTGGTTGATTTCTTGACATTAGTGTTCCTTTGTTCTGTGCTTACACCCTGCTTGTTCTACATGTGTGTACATTTCTTTGTTTTGTTGAAATGGAAATAAGCTAAAATTGTTGCTAAACCATTTGTTTTTCCCAAAACTTTTTCTCTATTTTTAATTGATTTTCATTGTGTGTTTTTGCAGCAAGCTTAGTAGTGGAGGAGCGAACGAGACAGATGAAAATGAAAGTGCACCGTTATAATCAGACATCAGGGTCTGGTTCTAGCCAAGAACATGAGCGTGAGCAATATACCAAGGTAAAGTCAGTAGTCTTGGAATGGTATTTTGGCTTGAAAATTAAAGGCATAAACTTGTTTATTTAAAATATTATATAAACTCCAAGAACACTGTATTTTAAATCCTGACAGAAATGTCTTCAAGTAATTGCTTTTTAGCATTATTTTTGCCCACATCTGATGTGGATTAGAGTTAGTCTTTGACATCAACTAAAATGAATCTGTGAAAACCAAAATGCTTAAAAACTTCAGGAAAGATTTTCAGAAAGAAAAAGTTCAGGAAAGAAAGAATGTTCAACAGCTGTTAAAAAGAAACTTATCACATCTAGCTTAGGAAGTCCTCAGACTTCCAATGCCCGGAGTTTGGAAAAGTACACCATGAAAAAGTAATTTGGCCCTTGTTGCTGTCTGATGTGTAGAGAGCTAGACAGAACTAGATCCAATCCCATGCAGATATTTTCATATTTGTATCATGCTTTTGCATCCTAATAATGTTAATTTCCTTTCTTGAGGTACCTACAGATGACTTCGATTTCCTTTTCTAATAAAAGCATAAAGAGTTTCTGTGATAATGGAATATATTGAAATTATGTTAACGAAGTTGTGTAGAGGGATTTTTTTTTTATTGACAGAGCTAAAATGGCAGTTCATTGATTTATTAAAAAAATATGGATATTGATCTAGTACCGATAACCAACTGTGACGGACAAAAACTCTCTAACAGTTTAAAGTTAGAAAGTGTATGTTTATTCGACGCCAGGAAGCGTGCGGGATAGCTCCCAAATTCACACTGCGCCTTCCAGGTGATTACAGAGTCTTTTTATCCATACAAGTATTGAATACACAAAATACAAATACATATTCATAATTTTGGTACATCTCATTCCCCGCTTCGTATGCTAATCACTCCAAAGGCTATTAAGCATGCGTAGTTTGTCCCTTGAAATGGGTCGGTGGTCCCTTTCATTGGGAGGGGTCCCAAAATGAGGAAGTAAATGAAGTCTTCCTCATTCTGACCTTTCTACCTTTTCAATGCACATATGACAAATGAACTCTTGGTAGAACTCCCATTCCTTGTCTTCATTGGTTTCAGAACAGAGGTGGCCCACAATTGTCTTATGTTCCTAAAAGCTATTTGTCAGTTTCTATATTCTTCATTATAAACCCGGCTAACTAAACATTGTGCTGACAAGCAATTAATTATTAGTTAACTACTAACTCCTAATTTCATCAAGGCCTACTCATTTATTTTTATTATTTTAATTAACTCTAGTAAGGCTTATTTCTAACTAAAATCTTGGCTCCTCTAAAATCTCTAAATTCCTTAAAGTTTACGTTTCATCATAACTTTGTAATTTAAACTGTATAGGGTTCCAAGCAAACTGATGAAAATGTCTTGCACATCTGCACTGCTGCTTACAATTCAAGCTGTGAGGAGCTGGATGCTCCTGGAGATACAGGTTAAAATAATGTATAAGTGAGGTACTCATCTAAAGCAAAATCACAAATTTACTTAGGAATGGTTAAATGGGAAATTTGGCAGATAATTTTTAATATTTAACAGATTTGAAGGATTGGTTCAAGACCTTGTTGCTGTAAAATATGCAGACAACTTTAGTAAGAACTTAAATGAACAATTCTCAAAAGGAAGAGAAACAAGGCTTTAGGTCCTCAAAGGCCAAATTGTAGTATATCAGTGCTGTTAAAAAAACTCAACAGCTGGGGTGGAAATTTCCTATGAGATCCTCTATCAGAAGCAGGAATTTGTTTCATTAGAACAGCTCATTTGCTATTGAATTTGCTGTTACCTTCAAAAGAGATCCACTCAGGGCAAGAGGGCAAGACGCAGTGTGTTTCACTTAACAAGGTAGGAAAAAATAGTCATAATAGAATTAATAAAATTTTCATTAGAGAAAGGTAATATGCAATCTGAAGAGTTTTGCCAGGATGACCAAAGAGCTTTGTTCAGTCAGAGGTCAGGTTTCTGAGTCAGATTATATGTCCTTACAGATTGATTGAAATTTTTGTATTTTTCATTTTGAAACATATTTTTTGATCCTAACTCTAATATTTATGATAACCATTGTTTTGGCCCTCAATATGTTTTTCTTATTTGATTAACATAGATCCAATGTATGGTTAAATAGTTATTAGAAAACATCAACCTGCAATGTTCCGAATTTATCCTTAAAACCTTGAGCTTTTTAGGATCTTTTTTTGGTTTTAAATGCATGTGGAAATCAAAATGGAAATCATGATGAGTACTAAATCCAAAAAACACTGAAATTATTCTATTCAGAATTCTGCTTCATTCCACTATGGTGATAGTCATCACTTTAAAAATGATACCAAAGTTAATCTTATGCTACTGTCTTTCTCTATCCTGAGAAAATGGTGAAAGAATCAAGAAAATAACCGAGACAGATGAAGATTTGGACATTTGAAAATGTAATACGTTATATCACCTGTTGTGGTAAAGCTGATGACTGAGACTTCTCAGAATCAAAGACCGCACCCAATCTCTGATACCAAAATTTGGAAAAAGTCTTCAAAAGCTGCAGAAACAAGACTTCAAAATTTTTAAAAAAATATTAAGTGGTATAATAAGTATTCTGGAATAGAGAAAAAGAAATATTAACTGACTATTAAAGAAATAGCAAGTAGAGGTTTTCCCTCTTTAGGCAAAATGCTTCTTTCTTTCCCAAATAGCAGTGTTTGCCCACTGCTCTAGAAAATAAATATATTTAATAATTATACTGTGCTGAACATTGGGAAAATAGTACATTCTGAATTTCAGAGCAATCATCTCACATGGATTTGATTCTTCCAGTATTTTTGCATTTGCAAATATGCTTGTTTTATTACATATGAAATTCTCTAAACCATTCAAAAATTTTCCTTCTGTATGGGACTGGATCATATTTGCAACAGTTAATTATGCATATACAAAATAATTCCTGAAAGTTAAATAAGTTTTCTTTTAAACAGAGATATTGTAACTGGTCGTTTGCTATTTGCAGTCAATTTCTGATGCATTACAGTTTTGGAATTTCTTCCACTCAGTTTCCCAATTTTCTAGTTTTGATAAGCAAGCAATAGTTTTCCAAACATGCACTATGCAGGTTTCCATTTTGAACATCCATTAATGGATTTTGAATAGGTAACTGCCCTGCAACATTTGTGTACATCTCCATGGCTGTTCCACTCTGTTTTGAGACTTTCACAGAGTTCACATCCTTATTTCCTCCCAGTGCAGTGGAAAGACTCCATAATTTTTGTGAAACAAAAAGAGTTTAAAGAAGAGCTTTAAACATCTGCCTTCTTTCTTATATATTGGTGAGGTTGTAGTGGCTAGTGTGCATATATTTGTGCTGTTTCAGTGCTTGAGAGGATCAAAACATTTGGTGGCATAATTCTGGATTTGCAGAGAGGTGAATTACATTGTAATTCAATTAGCCTTTTAATTCAAAATACAGTACGATTTTTTATTCCAGATGCCACATACAGCCCACAAACACCATGCTTGCAGCTACTCTGGCTTAACATTTTTTTTGAAGTTCTGTTTATTCAAGAGAGTTACTGATTAAAACACTGTAGTATGTACTTTAAAAGGATATCACTCTATATTTAGATGCACTACCGACTTAAGACTGTATGTGATTGAAAAGCATTTAGCTTAAAAGTGTAATCATGGCATTTGTTCAGAGGCACTGTGGATTTAACTCAATAGTTACTGTCTTTACTCTTATGTATTAACACTTAATGTCTAAACCCAGGGCCTGGGTAGGATGCTTGGGCTAACAGGAGGCTGATTATATTAAGTTCTACATCATACTGGCTAAGGCATCTAGGGATACATATAGAAAATGCTTTTGGACATAGACGTGGCATCCTTTTTTGGTCCCCTTCACCCACCTTGAGGAAAAGAATCTTTAATATATGTCATATTAAGATGGCAATCACTCCAGTACTAGCTGGATATCACAAAATTTAGCGAGTTCTATTCATTTGACCTGTGGGCTTCACTGCAGTTTCCTCATGGTTTGACTTGCTCATTTTTACTCTTCCCTGCTTGGAAGTTGAGCAGTGTTCATAGGAGTTGGATACAATTGTAGGAAGAGTTCTTTAGACTCACTGGCGCTTAGTGGCCTCTGGACTATGGCGTGAGCTGCTCCTAAGACAGAAGCTGGTGGGAGTCAATGGTGAGTCCTGAACACCCTAAGGTGCTCCCTGCCAACTGCTGGACTGTGAATGCCATCAGCATTCAGAGGAACCCCACGTGAGCAATCATAAAACTCAAGGTACTTTGTGCAGGATTCAGTGTTTTCTGAAAAAATTCCCCATTAGGCTGCCTCAAAAGATAGCTGTGATCTCAAGACTTGTGTAAGTCCCTGGAAGAATCTGTGCATCTGGTCTGTATTTCTCTTTCCTCACATTAATGAACTCATTTTAAACCCATTTTATTTTCTCATTTAATTTCCTCATTTTAAGCACATAATGAGGTATATATTTGTCACGGTTAGTCACCTGGGGCTTTTTTTGCAGTCAAAAGACAGCACACTCATTTAATTTTCAAAGCTCTGAATTCTTGTATTCTTCGTGGTTTTGGGAGTTATATCTAGGAATATAAATACTTTCATACCTTTCATTAATATGAAAGATAATCCAGTTATAATGGACTGTTAAATTACTTCTAAGGTTAGTAATTGAATTAGAAATTACTAACATTGTTAATCATGAAGGAGCTGTAAAATTATTTGTGAAGTACACTCTTTTAGCTTGTGTCTATGCTCTTCCCTTTGATGTTAACACATCTGCAGTTCATCATACCCCTTTTTTCTCCTTTTGCTGGTAAGCAAGAAGCAACAGCTCCAGAGGTGGTAACGTGAATGGAAGAACTGCATTCCAGCTGTTTGTAGATGTCTGTTTTTGTAATGCAGGCAAGGAAAGCACAGATATTTTCAGCATTTGAAACTAGCTGCTATTAATTTTTAAAAAAACAGACCTACTTTTTAGTAATTGCTATTGAAGTTGCTGCAAACTTCAGCGACTCTCCTAATGTGATGAATAGTGCACTTTGGAAAAGAAATGTTGCATAAGTTTTAAGATATAGAGTTGAAAGAGAAGTGGTTGCCCTGAAAATATACTTCATTTTGAAGCTTCAAAATGATGTAATGTTTAAATGTAACATGTCAGGGAAACTTCTTGCAAATATATGTGCAGTTTCAAAGAGCAGCAGTTTTTCACTTTACAGTAGAATTTGATTATATTATTTTTGAGCCCATTTGGAAACCGGCAGGCATTACTCCATTGCAGGTACCATATAAAAGGATCTTAGCCCATGTTATTTTTCTTCTGAATTATACATTCAGGTGTATTGTAGCAGTAAAATCTCATTTTAATGAGCACTGCTTTGTGGAATAGTGCTATTTACTTCTCTCTGTATTTGAAGGGAAAAAAGGGTAACTTCAAAATTGCCTTAATTTTGTTCATCTTTTAGCTGAGATGCCTATCAGATTGTATCAGAGGTAGGTAGGAAATCAGTAGGAAAACTTGTACGCCTCCTGTAGAAATCGGTGAATTAATTAGAAGCAGCAGTTATAAGAAGGAAAAGCTAAATCCAGAAGTAGTAGTAGTAAAATGTAAACTCTGTAGTACTCAGCATTAATTTCCAGTGTCACTACTTTTGTGCTAATCTCTGTTTCTGTGAAGGAGAAGGTTTTCAGTTTCTTGGGAATCACAGCCCTGGCATACAGCATAAAGGGATAGGAAAAGCTCAGCCATGCCATGAAAATCTCATTTAGGAAGGGATGCTCCATGTTTTTTGCATCAGCTGTGTGATTGCAATACAAGGCAAGTAGAAGATATGGATTCAGTTTTTTCTTTATGTCCCTTCTCAATGTAAAATTCTCTGTTTACCAACATATGTAAAACTGTCTTTTAAGCCAGTCTGATATCTACAAAACAATTCAATTTTTCAGACTGCTTGACTATTGGGAGCAAAACAGAGTGAGAGTATCTATGTAACCCCTACTTACAGGATGATACCTAGGCTGAAGACCCCTGCACCAATAAATCATTTTTGTATTGATAATGAACAGTCAGTTGTTGAATCTCTAAAAAGCCACTGATACACAAACTGGGCTTCTAGCTTCTCTCCCAGTATTCTAAGCAGTAAGTTGCACTACCATGCTTGATTCTTTCCCTCTCTTGCCTCTCCCCATCTTTCCCAGCCCACCTAGATACGCCATGAAAGGTGGAACAAATTCGGTACAAGTGAAACAGAGGGTCTTTTTCATTACATACCCTGTCCACCTGCTGAATTATAAGTTGAATGCTAACAGCCAGACTCAGGTGTGGCTTGGAACAAAGGCCAGCAGCCAAAACCTCCCTCAATACGTAGAAGAAAGGCTTCCAGCAGGCAGCTTCCAGAAGTCACTGCATCTGGCCTTGGTACTTCTCTGGTGGGGGAGTCGCCTTCTCCAGCAGCACATCCTGGTCGCTCAGGGACCACCTAAGTCTTCTACCACTGCAGGTTCGCTGTTTCCACTCTCAAACCAAAGGCCACAAAGAAGAATATAGACTTTTTGGTGAGGAAGAGAAGTAATCGGACATTATAACTACAGAGGGAAGAAGTCAGATTGTCTTCAGCAAATACAAATAAAGCATGGAGGTATTTCTGAAGCAGTCTGTTACTAAAGAAAACTGATACATTTGAGATAGATTACTTGGTTATATTTTAAACAAAGAATTTTTGAAACCTCAATTTCAAGGGAATAATTTTTAGATATAATCTCAATATATGGGATGGGTGAAATCCCTATTTCACTGAAATCGCCAGAAATTTTATTATTTAAAGGGATGATTTTACAGATTGCAAATCTGTTTAGGTCAGTAGAAAGCCAGATCATTCAATGTGTTCAGATGGTTTTCATATTTTTACTTGTCCCATTTAGAGTAGCTTGAGGGATACTTTAGGAATTCTTTAGGTATTTTGCATAAAACATCATGTCTGACTTGAGACTGGGGCAGTTTAACTTACACTGTAAACCATTCCGTTTTCTAGCCTCTGAATGGTTATATTTACCCTAAGTAAAAATTTTTCAAACTTTTATTCTTGCTTTGAATATTTTTTAGACTTTAGAAGGAAAACATGATATCCTATTATGAAATAGGTCCAATAATAATTAGTATGCTTTGTGTTTCCATTTTGGAATTACCATTTTATCTTGCAGTCTGAAGGATAGCAATCAGCAAAATTGTTTAACAGACTCTACAAGCCATTAACAATAGGTGATATTAATGAAGATATTAACATAATCTCACCCCACTGGGCATTTATATTCCATAAAGTCACAAGTCACTTATAAAGAGAACCTCCCAATAAATTCCTGCTGTAGTTGAAAGTATTTTTGAATATCACAGTACTTGATGTACCTTTCTGTTGCCCATTTTCTTAATGTTACCTTTAATAAACCAGAGCTTAATCTCCTGCAGATGTCTTTACACAGACACTGTAAGGTCCTCACAGGTCCTCACAAACTGCTTAGTGTTTCTGCTAAGCAGTGTTCTAATGCACGCCTGAGAAACAGTGAAACAGTAAATTTATGTAAACTCCATTTGTCCTGTAGATTTCTATATTACAATTGGTGCTTAGAATTGCTTTACTCCTTCCCCTTCTCTACTCCTAGTGACTTCCTCATTTTATGTTCAATGTTTTACTAAGAGGTTTCCAAGTGTGCACAAGCATAGTTGCTGAAAGGCACTGGTGCAAGAGAAGGTAAACCTGGCTTAAGGAAAGGAGACCTGATACATCCATCTGTACAAACTCAAGCTTGTGTTTGCCAGGTTTTTGAAATTAAGTCATGGCATTTGTTGAGTGACTCAGCCAGAAACCCAGTCCCAAGTCAGAGTTTGTGTATTCACAGTCAGCCACAGATTTGTGTACGATTCATAAACAAACTTTTATCACTTGTAATTTTACAGAGCACAGATCTGGAAAATGAACTCCGTAGAGTCTCATGTCAAAATCTGCCTAGTGATCCTATGTTTTAATAGTTTTCCCATAATATACCCTGGGAAGAATGCCACTGGTTTAGTTGCTTGCCTTACCATGCCAAGATTACCTTCCTGTAATGACAGTGAGTTTTAGTTTTGTGAGCCTGAAAACTATTTGGTCCTCATATCTGTGTGAATGAAGGTTTAGGTAAGTGTGACATTGCTAGGATTGAAACTTCCCTTTGCACCTGTCTGACTGATGATATGAGCAATAAGAGCATTATGTAAGTGTTGGTGTCACAGATGATTTGAAAAGTGAAGTAACTTCTATGTCTGTTCACATATTCCCCCTGCGGGGTCTTTTGCTAGTTCTTAGGCATGTGGAGATGTAAAAGCAACTAGATCAGGGAATTGATCTGCCTGGAAACAAATACTGTATTTACTAAGTTAGCCTTCTGCCTAACTAGTCCTCTAGTATCACAATATAAAGAGAAATTTTGAGATAGAAAATGTACTTTTCTCTTTTTTTATAGAACTTAGGAACTGAAATCAGTCCCTAATGCCTTCATATAGCGTTACATTTCATTCAGGCTCATATGCAGTTCTATGTGCAGGTATTTCATAGCATATATTTTTAATATTTTAAAAATTTTAAAAGGAGGCTGTAGCCAAATGGATGGTGTGCATGTTCTTGAGATATCTGTCTGCTGCATAAATATTTCATATAAATATTTCATTATTATAGATCTAGTGTGCTGAAGAACCAACAGCCTATTTAATTTCCCATGCATTATTTTATTCCAAGTATCTTCTTTAGTCCATAAATAACATGTTTCACTTCTGTACTAGACAACAAGATATTATTTAATGCAGGCATATATTTGAATTTCATACAATTTTGTTATACCTAAAAGCAGTTAAAGAGAATTGTCATACTTAGGTCGTGTGTTGACTCAATGAATGCATTCTGTTTTGATGAGACTCCTCACCCTTTCTTTTCTTGATCTCTAGTATAATATACAAACAGATCAGTACAGAAGTTGTGATAACGTCTCTGCCAAATCATCAGATAGTGATGTCAGTGATGTGTCAGCCATTTCCCGAACCAGCAGTGCCTCTCGCCTCAGCAGCACAAGTTTTATGTCAGAGCAATCTGAGCGCCCTCGGGGCAGGATCAGGTGAGTTCTCCGTGCAGCTTCAATTGCATCACACTCCCTTTTCTATTGACTGCCAGAATACAACCATAAATTCTTGAAACTAGATCACCACAACATGAGAATTTCTGGAAAATGTTATGCACATATAAACTGTCTTCCATGACTGGCCTAAGATGACAGTAGTTTTCCTGTTGTACATCCTAAACAGAAAGCAAACTTCCCATGAGAAGATGATAGATTTATGTATTTATCCCACTTGAACCTGAACACAGGCTGTCCTCTCATTGGTTGCTAAGAAACAGTGTAATCAGTATGTCAGTAAGGTATTACAGCAGAAATATTACTATATTTTTTTAGTTAAGCAGTTTTTTTCATAAAAGCTTGGTTTTTCTTCCTCAAAGTATTTTTCCCTATCTACATACCCTTATTTTGCTGTTTTCATGTATATGGTAAATTACTAGATTCGAAACTATTTTTCATGTAAAAATTTTTATATTTTTGTTCAAAAGTAGTTTAATTCATTTCCATTATCAATAACCAAATACATCTTTCATCCTTTATACTAATCTATTCAGGGGTTAGGGCTCTATTAGATGCACACATTGGGTTTTGTTTTCATTTAACTTGATGACAAAACCCTCAGCAGCCACAGTGGCTCTAGGATTAGCTTGGTAGTCATTGATTACATTTGTCAGTTTCTGAACTGTAAAAATTTCAACTTTAGGTGCTCTAAAACACAAGAAGAATTATGAACTGTAAAAAAAAAAAAAATTATCCCTACCAAGAAGTCTGCCTAATATAAGTCTGGAAGGCATCATTTACCACTCAGAATACTTCTAGACACACTCAGTGTCTGAGAAGATCCGCTGCAGGAGTTTGGTCTGTTTATGCAAAAGGAATGGATATTAGGAAAACTCAGGAACTGGCCTCTATGTTTGAGCTAGACACACCCCATTTTATTTTCAAGGAATATTCACAAGGGTATTTAAAGTCATATTTCAGATTGGTGGAGGTCTAACCCGACAGCTACAGTAATTCAAAATCCAGCAGAACACGGCAGTGGAAGTGTAAATGTATTTAAAGTCAGTTCAATTTATGTCTTTAAATGCTGCATTACATCATGTCCTAGGTTTTCTCTATTTGACTCTTACAATGGGCTTTTTTCATACCAAAATACCTTATTTCACAGACACAGAATTTTTCTCAACTAGGCCCTCTCACAGGTCTTTGTCAGGTTCAACCAAAATAATTTTTTTTTCCACAGATACATGTAACAGATTTTATCAGAAATTTTCCTTGTGTTCAGAATATATGATTGTAAATATCAGGACTGGGAGAGCCACTAACCTTGTGTAAGCCTGGCAAGGGTGAATCCCGGGTTCAAATCCTCAACCTCTTCCATTCTTAGGAGTAGCAGAGCACTTTGGGTGCAGGATTGGGTGACCTCATATATACAAAGCCAAGTGTCTGCAGTGGGAGTTCCAGTTCAGCTTCACTCTAGACAGTGAAGTGAGATGTAATTGGAATTCAGATGCCTTCTCTTTCTGACACTGTCCACAGGATCCATACTTCAGAAATTAGACACTTTTTGGTTGTTTGCTTTAATCTTCTCTAAATTCAGGTAGTACTTCCATACTGAAAAAAATGTGTAGTAATAAAATACAATGCAGTTCTTTCAGTAGAAATATGAGAAAGAAATAAAAAGATTGGGGAAAGGGTTGATTGTTTTAGGAACAATTTTTTTCATCTTGAGATTCATGCTGTCTAACTCCAGACTTAAAAGCTATGTATCTTCAGTGGAATTCACCTAAAAATAGGTGTTTATTAAATTATTTTTTAGCTTACCTAAGCCACCATTAAAAGGAAGAAAACACCTATTATCTTGGATGGTTCACCTCATCTTCAGACAAGCATCAAAGGCAGGGTATTCATCCTTTTCTAGAATTAATTGTTGAAGAAACCCTAGATGACTTATTTAGATTGGTTGCTTTAATTTTTGACATTGGTTTCTTTTAATATTAAAAGAAGTATTTCTCTCAATTACTAAAGTTTCTTTAAGGTCAAGGAAGTAGAAGTTTTAATTTCAAGTCTGATTACTAATTTGAAATTCAAATTTTATTTTTGCCTCCAAAGAACCCAGTGTTACAATATATCAAATAGGATGGGATAGGATGGGATGATTGAGCAGGGAGGGTAGCACTTTCTGTCTGTCTGTTTTTGTCATTCTAAAACCACCTATCCAGCATCATCTTCATTTGGAAGAGTGTCAGGCCAGTGGACATGGCAACTGTGTGAGTGTAATGTTACATTTAATGACAAAGTTTCTTGAACTGCCTTTTCTATGCACCTGCTTTTGTTCTCCAGATATGTTGTAGAGATTAACCTAGTAAACATATAGAAACTCAAAGGAGGTGGCTCAGTTCCAGCCATTTTACTAAATTAAGTCATTCAACAAGTATCCTTACCTTGAAGAGTAGTCTGGGGTTCAGATTAGTAACCTGAAGTGATTGATGCAAGTTCTAAATATAAGTATATAAAATAGGTTCTTGATTTCTAATTTGTTTAGCATTTTCAGGTATGTGTTGTAACAAATGGCTTTGTGTGGATAAGCTACTCTGCATATTAAATTATTCAAAGCATCTTTCTTGTTACTGTTCTAAGAAGTCTGGTTAACTGCCATGCTCTCTAGTTGGAAGCGCAGAAAAAAAATACCAGGAATTTTTGCTGTGTGAGCAAAAAGTTCTGGGACTTCTGATTTGAATAGAATCAGATATGTGAATTTGGAGTTGATGTGTATTTAATGAGTGAAATCAAATTATCAGTCCTTCTTTATGGAGATTTGCTTTTATTAATCATGGTCTTTATACATTCATAACACAGTCACAGAGTACTTTGTGCCTGCATGTGCTGGAGATGTTACTGTGTATGGCTCTGAAGCATTTCTTGCATCCTAAATGAAACGGAAGGAAACGTTTCTATGGTTTAATGCTAAGATTGATAAGGAAGAGCCCATGATGATTAATCAGCACCATATGGGCTTGATCAGACAAAGAAGGACATTTGCTGACTTAATAAAAAATTATGCCAGATTCTGTCATTGCATCACTTTTCATTTGTAGCCTTTTTATGCAGATAACCTGGACTTCTTGGTGCTGTTAAGTAGGGAGCTGTCCTACATGGTAAAGGTGAGGTGGAGGCTTCTGTTTTGGAGGAATAACAAGCTACCATAAGGTGTTTCATTCAAATCCGATTTAATAAAATCTGCTAGATTTATGAAAGACTAAATAATATTTTTAAGGTGAATTTGTCTCACTGTATCTGGATTTCAAACAAATTGCCCTGCATTAGGAATATTACTGTTATCTCTCATTTTAAATTTGAAAACCACATCTTACTAAGAATTATGGTTTTTATCTTGATCAATGTGTGATATAATAATATTATATCTGTGCCAAATTTTAATCTGTTTTTACATGCTTTTTAAAATTGAATGCTTAAGTGTAATTAAAATATTTTATATGAGCTTATCAAGGAAAGAGGATAATGTAATTAGTTGTAATAGTAGATTTAAACCACTTCTAATTTATTGCACATGTTGTGCCATGCCACTGAATGGCTTGTATCACAAACTCGTATATGGTTTTTAGGATTTATGTTCTCTGTATGCCACTGAAGTTTGTACTGTCAGACTCTACCTGACAAGCATTTTCTTCTGTGATTTCCAGAACAAAATATACAACTTTTGTGTAGCTGTTGTTCTTTCAGTACACTGACACAACTCCAGTACACTTGAGCTTTAAAATAGGAATGATGGAGCAGAGAAATTATGATTCAGGATCAAGTGAGGAAGTGGTTGATGGTTGATAGGCAATGGGTGCAGAGAGATGGGGACAGCCAGGACCTCATAAACAGCAAAATAGGGCAGGGAGGAGCCACCCAGTGTGTATGCACATGAATAAGGATGTGATTGAGAGAAAAGCATTTAGGGAAAGCTCTCATAGCTTTTCTGGGAAATCAGCACAAGTGTGTGGCTCTCCAGATGGCCTGCACTCCAAAGCATGGGGAACAAGCAAGAGGAATTAGAGGTTTGTTGTGCAGCTTCAGGGCTATGGTCTCATCACGACTACAGAGAAGTGGTGGGATAGCTCATATTACTGTGCTGCAATCCATGGAAGCACAGGGCAGGATAGCAAGGACTGATAGCAAGCCCTTTCTGAGGGAGAGCAGAATATGCAGGGAGATCTGGTGGGTAATGAACCAGCTGAGAGTTGATAGGTCAGGATTCGAGGCCCAACCAATGTCATGATATTGTGGGTGTCTGCTATGGACTTCTTGATCAAGAAGAATTAGATGAAGCCTTCTTCCAGTTGTAGGTTCTGGTTTTCATGGAGAATGTAAACCATCCTGGTATCTACTGGTTAAGCAATGCAGTAGGGCACAAGTAATCCAGGAGGTTTTTGTAGTACACTGGTGACTGAAGGGAAAGTCTGGAGCAAAGACTCAGCAGAGAATGATCTCATCAAGGAACATCTAAATAAACTGCACATGTGAAATTCATTGGCATGTGATAAGGTACACATGAATACTAAATGAGCTGTTGTTGACTGGTGGCATTGCAAAGCCAGTCAATAATCTTTGGAACATGGCACTCGGGGAATGTTCTTGAAGACTGGAAGAAAAATCATCACTACTATCTTCAAGAAGGGAAAGAGATCTTGGAAACTATAGGCCTGTCAGCCTTAGCTCAATCTCTGGGTAGCCAAACATATGTGTAGAACAAGGGGGTGATTGTGGATAGTCAGCATGAAATTACAAAGGGCAAATCAAGCCTGACCAGCCTGATGGCCTTGCTTCATTAGCTGACTAGCTCGATGGATAAGAATATCAGATGTTCTCCATCTTGTCTCTGCTAAGTTCAACACCCTCTTCTAAAACACCCTCATAGACAAATGGAGGAAGTACAGCCTAGGTAAGCAAACAGTGAGGCAGATTGGAAACTAGTTGAATGCCAGGCTCAGGGC